GAAGGATATCCCACGATGTTCACTATTGAGCTCCATCATGGAGGGAGGTTCACAAAATTCCCAGGGATAAGCTACATTGAAGGAAAATTAGACCATGTTGACTTGGTAGACATGGATGAGTTCTCTGTGCATGAGTTGGACGAGGTGATGCTGAAGCTTGGTTATGAGGTACCACCAGTCATTTACTACCACTATCAATTGCCAAATGGAGATTTGGAGTTTGGTCTTAGAGCTCTAGGGAATGATGTTGATGTACTTAGTCTTGCACAGTACATTGAACATCATAAGATCATCAAGGTATACACTGAACATAATGAAACTAAGTTACTTACATACTTTATGTCTCCAAGAGTTAAACCTAGGGTCATAATTGAGGAAATAGCAGATGATGTGCCCATACCAAAATCAAATGCAGCAGTGGTTGATTTGCATCCAGTAAACCAAAACCAGAAAGATGTCCCAAATCTTGAATTGTGTTTGGTAAGATATGAGATATCCGAATACAATTCAAATAGGAGTTTGAGGTTAGTTGAAGGGAGTCAATCATGTAGTAAGAAATTGTGTTTCAACTTGGAATACACTGCAACTGTTGGTGATCAAGATGCACATGTTGAAATTGGTAATGAAGGTGCAAATATTAGTGATCAAGGTGCACCTGTTGGTAATCAAGATACAGAAGTTCATGATCAAGGTGCAAATCTTGGTGACCAAGAAGTAAATACAATAGAGTTTGATACCTTTGATGACCAACCATTTCAATTTGAAGACTTTGATCCTTTCTTTGATCAATATACTTTTAATGATGGTAATGATCAGAGTATGGGAGTTGGTGCAGAACTTGGCACAGGACTAGGTGAAGTTCAATTTGAAAGTGAGGGAGTTTGTGAAGGACTTGGTGAAGGAGGTAGTGAAGGGGGTAGTGAAGGGAGTGAGGAAGACAGTGACTTTCTTGAAGATGAAGAAAATTATGTAAGTGATATCGAGGTGGACATGAGTGATTTCTATATGAATGTTGATCTAGATGTTGAATATGTTGACAGAGGAAAGGGTGTTGAGACTAAAAATGAAGTTGTTGATACAGAAGATGTTGAAGATGTTGAAGTAATTGATAATGATGAATGAGACTCATTAGGTGAAGATACTGATGATGAAAGAAGGAAAGCAATATTAAAACAGATGGTGAAGGAGAAGAAGTGCTCTCTTGGTGAAGTCCATGCAGTTACTTTTCAAGTGGGTCAAAAGTATAAAAGTAAAAAGGAAATTAAGGACAAAGTCAACAAACTTGCCATTGAGACAAGAAGGAATCTTGGCTTCAAGAAAAACGACAAAACAAGGCTTAGGGTTGTGTGTAAAGGTAATGTACCTAATGTAAATGCAAGTGGGGTAGGTAAGGGCAATAAATTAAATTGTTCTTGGTCAATGCAGACTTCAAGGTCAAAAGATAGTGATTATTGGTATGTAAAAACTTTACTGGACAAACATACTTGTGTTCAAACTAGAAAACTTAGGGCTTGCACTACGAAGTATATATCTGCAGAAATCTTAGACATGGTCGAGTCTAACCCTACAGTACCCCTTCGAAGCATTCAAGACCAAGTTTAGAAGAGGCTTCAAGTTGGTGTGTCCATACACAAAGTACAGAGGGCAAAAGCAACAGCTACAAAGCAAGTGAGTGGTGACTACACAAAGCAATACGAGGTGTTAAGAGATTATCTTATGGAACTACAAACAACTAATGTGGGTATAACTGTGAAGCTTGAGGTTGTTAATGAGCCTAACAGTGCTAGAGAAACAAGGCGGTTTAAAAGGGTGTATATTTGCTTAGGGGCATTAAAGAAAGGGTTTAAAGCAGGCTTAAGAGATATTCTGGGACTAGATGGTGCTTTTATGAAAGGACCATTTCCAGGACAAGTACTCACAACAGTTGGATTGGATTCAAACAATGGCATATACCCACTTGCATATGCCATTGTTGAGACTGAAAATATGAGTAGCTGGAAATGGTTTCTAGAATGCTTGGGAGATGACTTAGAGTTGTACTCAAATTCTAACTTTACTTTCATGAGTGATAGACAAAAGGTACTATTTTTTTCTTTTTTGTATTACTAATAGTTTATTTGTATATGATTGATGCAATGATTGTGTGGGATAATCCTTTACAGGGACTCTTACCTGTTATTGCACAACTATACCCACAGGCTGAGCATCGATTCTGTCTAAGACATATTTATGAGAACATGAGGAAAAAATGGAAAACAAAAGAGTATAAAGATCACTTATGGCAGTGTGCAATAGCAACCACAGTACCAGAATTTGAACACTACATGAATGAACTTAACAAGTTTGATAAGGATGCTTTTGAGTGGTTGAAGAAACCCCCCCCCCCCCTCACCATTGGGCCAGAAGCCACTTTTCAGGTTATATTCCCTACCTTAGGTGAAGCTTTACTAGTGCTCATTGTATATGATTTAGTTCATATAATTTTCTTGTTTAATACAAGCAGAGCAGGATCAGATATATTGCTCAACAATTTGTGTGAGGTTTTCAACAGTAAGCTTATTCATGGTAGGAATAAGCCCATCATAAGTTGTCTTGAGTACATCAGGCAGTACCTTATGAAGAGGATCTGCAATGTAAAGAAAGTGATGTCCAAAGCTCCAGGTCCACTCACTCCAACAGCATCAAAGTTACTTGAGAGAAATAGGGAAGCTTCAGTCCAATATAGAGCTAGATGGAATGGGACTGCAAAGTATGAAGTTTATGGTCCTTGGCATGACCAGCATGTGGTTGACATGACAAATATGTCATGTACATGTAGAAGGTGGGAATTGAATGGGATTCCATGCAGACATGCCATAGCTACAATACATGAAATGGCTGATAGTGGAGACAAAGTTGGGGAGCTTTACACTTATGTCAACAAAGTGTATTGGCTTCAAACATGGAATGAAGCTTACTCTTACACTGTGGACCCTATAAAGGGTAGAGCCATGTGTCCAAAAAGTACATGTCCATTTCAATTAACACCACCACCACATCACAATCAACCTGGGAGACCTAAGACCAAGAGAAAGAGAAGTGCAGATGAAAAATATGATAAACAAATGCAAAATCATGGTGCAGGTGAACCTGAAAAACTTACCAGAAAGTTTGTTAGTGTCAGGTGTGGGAAATGCAACAATAGGGGTCATAACTCAAGGACATGCAAGGGTCAAGGTGGGAATGCAGGAAGCAGTCAAGGAGGGAATGCATGAAGCAGTCAAGGAGGGAATGGAGGTAGCAGTCAATGCAGGAATTAGTGTATTTTGTTTAAAAACTTATCTTTTGGTTTAGCACCACTTTTGTGCATTTGGATGTAATGGTTTAAAAGTAGTTTGTTGTAATGGTTTTATTTTGGTCTTTTAGCCCTTTTGGTCATGAAACTAATGTCAACCTTTTGTCATTGTTGAAGAATGATGTTTATGGTTTATACCAACTTTGTTGTCATGTTTATGGAACACATTTATGGTTATAACAACTTTTTTCTGAAACAACAAATAAACATTAACATTAGGTGATAACTGCAATACATTGTCATTACATCCTTGAAAAGGGTACAAATTTCTGAAGTTGTCGAAAATAACCCTAAATTGATATTACATTATCAAATACCAAAAACTACCACATTCCCTTGTTACAATTTCATAAGACAAAAAACACCCAAAATTACATGCAACTAAAGGGGTCCCTAATTCCTTATTACTAAATGAAAAGCACCCAAACCACCACAAATAGTAACCAACTTGCAAACAAACACATCTTCAATCTTGCCACTTGATAGTTTGCATTGTTGATATTCCTCAATAATCCGGGTATTATCAACATAGATCTTGCACACATTGGAGGATCAATCCATCCTAAGAATCTGCATCTGGAACCCTTCACGTAAAAAAATAAACCTTAAACATGAGGGTGATTTTCCAAAATGAGGGTAAAATAGCAAAATCGAACACTTACCTTTTGAGGGCAGGAAAGAAACCTCCGACCAGGGTTTGCTGATGTCCAGGAGGTGCGAACCACCGCGTCCCTACCACAGAAACACATCACCATTTTAATTTTTGATCTCTAAGAAATTGTGAACACAGAGTAGGAAGAGTATGAAGCTCGTGAAGTTGAAGATGGAAGAGTGATGTAGCTCTGCTTTTATTTTGAATAAGGTTGCAAAAAAGGTCCCTGTAAGTGGAAAGACGAAAATACCCCCGTCTATATTGCAGGTAACGGAGCATATGGACGGAAGTTAGTGGGAGGGACCAAAAACAATGGAAAAATCCAATTTTGGACCAGTGGTGCATCAAGGTATCGTTTTGGACCAAAGTCGCATAATTTTGCCAAACACAGGGACCATTTTTGCAATTTTTTCTAAGGAAAAATGGTGGGTCAGTTAAGGTAAGGTGAAGGGGTGGGTTGGGGTTGAGGGTGTGTTTATTTAAACAAATTAAAAAATCAATATGAAAATAGCATTTTTAGGTAAGACAGGGACCCAACACGTAACAAAAACAAGCAGTAGGCTCCTTCCGAGTTAAAAAAATAAGTTAATGACCAAACGCGCAAATTACCCTAAACCATAAGGAAACATTCGTGTAATTTACTCATATATCTTTAATTTTACATGGTCGTTTGATCTGAATAAGAAGCGTGTCTCATTTGCAATGCGATTTTCATTCAAGTACATTATTATTTTTTTCCATGTGGACCGGCTAGCATCTACAATTTAGGTTATTAAAAATTTATTATTGTTTTAATCTTATCTTTGTTGATGTTAATACTTAACAGGTTGAATGAAAAACTCCTTTTTTTTATTATTTTTACTTTTTATCAACCACATAATCTTTTATTTTATTATATCCGAATAGGTCCCTACAGAACAACTTTAAACTTACTTGACCCAATACATCAAATGCCCCAATCACATTTCACACCCATAATGTAACATTCCAAGACACACTTCTCATTCTTAACAATTAACAAGTAACATTCTCTTTTTTTTACTAGAAAAAGTAGGATCCACAAAAAAATATTAAAAAAAAAGATATAAATATAACCACCAGATATAATATATCAACCCAAATTCACGCCGACATATTTCACTACTACAACTCACTACAACGTACATATTCCACAAACCCAAACAAGGCTTTTGAAATCTTAAGACTTCAATCTATTCTGACTCATCGAATAGCATGATATTGTATGATCCCTCTTTTAGGAGGCAGCTTCCTCAAAATAAACAGAACTAAAGACGAAGGTAATATCTCCACCAACTGTTAAGATTAATAATTAAAAAAAAAAACATTAACAAAAAAAATCAATGAAAATACATTGTTATTTCTTGTGGTAAAAGGTCATACCAAGTAGAAGATGAAGCTCAAAACAGGATGTTCCAATACATCTAGGTTGGCGGATTCATTGAACGCATTAAAACACATCTAGCCTCACCATCAAAGAAAATATTAAAATTTTATAAATTATAATAATAAGTAAAATCAGCACTTTGTAATTATAAAAATTAAAACGTGAAAGGCCTCTCTCACCATGATACATCTCAAAAGGAAGCACGTAAAGCAAATTGTTGTCACGTAGCCAACCTTCACAAACAAATAAATAATAATAATAAATTCATAGATATAAATATAATTGTCCAAATTTTTTTTTAAATATACAAAAACACACCTCTTGTAACTTCTTTCGACGGCCTTTGGATTCCACAGGAAACCGCTTCAACATTAAAAATAGCCTACACAAAATAATACATAAAGTAAAAAATATAATGATTAATAATAAAATCCATATCCATTCATAATAGTTATGTACATAAAAAGATCGAGATTAGAAAAGATTCTTTATTATAATAAATACCTTCCTCCATAAAGAAGAAAGGCGAAGGCTGCAAACAAAGAGACACCTGCAAAAACAAATGTGTGACACATTTCCAAAAAAATATGAACTTCAAACAATAAAAAAATTAAAGATTTATTTTACAAAAACCTGCAAAGAAAACTTTGGAGAGTATCACCAAAGTATTGATAGGCTTCCACCAAATTATTAGCCATAAAGCAATCTGAATTGCATAAACAATTCCATTGATTGTAAAAAAAGCTGGTCTAAGTCCATCAGTTGAGACTGTTCTTGCCTGTTTTTGATGGTTCAAATCATTATAAAATGAATAATAAATAAATATTTAGATTTTAGAATAAATAAAGAGGAATAGAAATTAAACCTGGTAGTAAATTTCAGCCCAAAACAAAATCAAGAGAGCATAGGTGGTGAAAAACGCAAGACTTGGTAGATCAAGTAACATATGTTGATAAATCTGACAAAAGAACATATTCAAGAAAAAGATGATAAATTTATAGATATAGATAATAATATAAGTGATAAATTGAGAATAATTCTAACCTCAGGTGTCAACTCTTGGATATCATGACGGAAAATAAAAGTTAAACATCTAGCTGCAATAATAGTAACACATTTAATATAATAATCAGTACAAATTGAAGAAGAAGAAGAAGAAGGTTTCTAAATTCATTTTTGAAAAGATAACTAAAATATACAGACCCCCATTAACCAAGAAATTGAGGAAATGAAAGACCTTCTGAGTAGTCCAACCATATTCTGGCACTCTTTGTTGGATCCTAATTAATTGTACCTACAACCATCGAAAATCATGCGTGATCATTAACTATAATCAAGGATGCAAAAACGAAATCATGTCATGAATCTAAATGGAAAAGTTTATAGTAGTTTCATGATCTTCGATATGAGTAACAAAAGCACATGATTACAATATATCCAATCAACTGTTCATTATACAGCGAAAAGCTCGTTAGGTTCAAGTGGAAACCCTAGAAACAGAAGATGGGAGACAGTACAGTACAAAAACCTACTGTTTTAACGAAGTAAATGGAAACTCACCAGCGCGACGATGGAAACGATGCCATAGAGAGCAGCAAGAGCATGAAAAATTCGATCTTGCCAAACAGGGGAATTGTTTAATACATCCCAGAAACTGTATGCATCTTTGAGGTTGTACATCGCCACCGAAGCTTCAGATGGGCCCATCGAGGCCCCTTCCATTGCTGGAAATCCGGTTGCAGATGATGAATTAACGGCCGGCCGGCGAGATCTTCGAGAATAAGAACTAAAAGCTCCAAACCCGGATCAAATTTACTTGTTGTTCCACTTGAAGTAGGAATTTTGGAGACGATTGTTTGTTTGTCTGGAAAGGGAAAAAGAGGGAAGGGGATTGGTGGAATTGGAAGTTGGAAAACGGCAGGCAGACGTGATAAAGAAGGATCGAGATGTGCGGATTGTGACACCAATATAGGCGGGGACGGGTTTATCCGTATTTGGATCGTAAAAGAGGGCGATAATCCATATATCTTTGTTACAAGACTTGTAGATCTAATCATTACTACGACTTTTGAGGGTTTTTGATTTAAAAGTTATTATTGCATATGGAAACTACAAGGTACAAGGTTTCCGAAAGACATCAATTCTATTCATCTTAGAGAAGATGTCTCAGTATGTTTGATGATATTACGCTTGATACTCTAAGATTAGGATTGACTTGAATGTTTCGTTAGATAAGACCGTATGTAAAGAAAAAGGCTATGTATAAACATCGATTAAATAGAGTATTTTTAAAGTATTTTTAATATAATTTCAAGCGAAATGTTAAAAAACGAAATGTTAAAGGAACATATGTATGTAACATGGAGCAAGTCGTGAAGTTTTACGTCCTAAAGAGAGATTCAATAGAAGGAAATGTTGAAGTTGACATTATTTGATGCATACAAGTGGATTGGTTAAAATGGATGGCGGTCATGAGTATTTTGCAACAATAAGATCTATTTGAAATTGATGAGAAATTTTACAGTGACAATTAGGTCAGATATACTATATGGAAGCGAATGTCAATTGAATAAAAAATACTCAATGATAATTGAAGGTCTAGAAAATGAGGTTGATTCTTTGGATGTTTTGGCTAATATGGTTTTGTAGTCCTTAGTTTAAGGTTCCTTGAATATAAGGATGAAGAAGATGAATGCATATAAGTCATTTTGCACAACTTAAAGACATAGTTAGGACATGTTCATACCTCATACCATCTCAATCTTCATTTCTTCAACTTTTCGGTTATTGATTACACTGCAAACGTACTTTTAATTATTGTATTCAGATTCGATCCAATAATGTTCTACTACATGTCCACCACAACAACCTCATTTTTTAGACCTTCATTATCCTTGCGTATTTTTTATTCAATTAACAATGGCTTCCCTATAGTATATCTGACCTAATTGTTATTATATTTTTTATCTGGCCTAATTGTCACTGTAAAATTTCTCATCAATTTCAAATAGATCTTATTGTTGCAAAATACTCATATGGCCGCCATCCATTTTAACCATCCTACCTTTATGCATAAGATAATGTCAACTTCACCATTTCCTTCTTCTCATAGACCTTAATACTTGGGATGTTTTGACTAATATGGTTTTGTAGAAGGAAATGCTTATATGCATTTATTCTTGCAAAATGACTTATATGCAAAATGAATGAAGATTGAGATGGTATGAGTAGACCTGGCAAACGGGTCGTGCCGGGTTGGGATATTAAACGGGTTGAGGGTAGTTGACACGGACACGACACGTTTAATAAACGGGTTGGAAAACCTGACACGGACATGACTCGGTTATAACCGTGTCAACCCGACACGACAAGTGTAACCCAACTATGCCTTTAAGTTGATGTAAAATGACTTATATGCATTTATCTTCTTCACCCATATATTCAAGGAACCCTAAACTAAGGACTACAAAACCATATTAGCCAAAACATCCCAAGAATCAAACATTAACATTTTAAACAAAACTAAATCTAATACCCCATCCCCTTGTATTTCTTTTAACAGCTCTAAAAGACTCTGTAGTATATACCCTTGTTTTTCTTCACAACTATTCAAGCTTTCTAATTGAACATAGTGGAATAGTGGCTTCCACATTTCAATCCAAATCTCAAATCTACATCAAAACAAGACTCATTAAAGCTAAAGTTTTTCCCATAACATCATAACATATAACAATTCAACAATCACATAACAAATAAAAACCTTCAAAAGTTGTCCATTTTTTTTCGCCCTAAATCTCCCCCAAGAACACAAACAAACAAACAACCCGAAAACACAAATTCAAAGTTGGCAACAAACATGTTTGTTTTAATCCTTTGTAGTCCTACGCCACGAGTGTTCGCGGGCCCCATTTTCATCCACAATTTTGATGAGAAAATTCTGTGGGGCCACAACGAGCCTTGACCGAATCTCCTCAATGCACTGATCGGCTAACGCGATGGCTTCATCAACCGTCATGTCAGGGTGGTAGTGGCGGTCCATCATGGCTAAAGAAAAGTATGAACCGTAACCAAACGCCGCCTTGTCAACTTTGTGTAGGGTTGCAATGTAGTCAATGAAGTACAGAGAGGGGCCCGTTTCTTTATCATACCCCGCTAACACAATGTTCACCATATAAGGATTCTGCAAAAGTGTTGTATCCGTTTGTCTGAATTAGACTAAATGACCATTTTAACCTTACACTCCAATGAAAACATATGTTTTACCTTTCTCAAAGCTGTAGCAAGCTCACCACGCATGAAATTTGCAGCAGCCTTGGTAGTTAGTGGAATCCCATTTCTGAATTGATACAGAGAAACATTTTTCTGTACATACTCCGTGAATTGAGCTCTAACAATTAAAAGAGAAGAAAGAGTTGTTCATGTTAATACAATGAATCAGTTCATTGGTTCTTTTAGAAAGAAAAAAAATCATGTTGTTCTTCTGGGATTGTCAAGTTTTCATTTCGCCTTGAATACCATAACCTGTGAATCACATTCAGGTAAAAAAAAAAAAAAAAACCTTCTGGTTCTTCATTCTTACTTACTGCACAATTTGTTAAAAGTTTTTGATTCATTTGTAAATTGTAATCATAATCCATGTGACATTTACTTCAAAACTTTTATCATGTAATAACAATTTGATAATTTCAAGATTAGTACTAGTTTTCACATCCAGAGTTAACATGGATTTTCTTGCAAATTTACTATAATTTCCAAACTATTTGTAATACCAATTTAATGTAGCTAGCATTTCCTTTTCTCAAGATTTCCAATATCCATTTCAATCAGGAAGCTGTAAAAACAAGGGCAGTAGTATTATTTTATCTCTCAAAAACCCTAATTTCACTCTAATTTGAAACTCTAGTCAACCTACAGTGAGATCTTGTTCCGTGTTTCGCAAGCTGTCTTAATCACATCCACCCGTATTCCAAATTGGATCTTAGGATACCATGGATTATAAAATTAAAAACGTCCTATACTCAAAACTCAAAAGTCATTGCAACCAAATCGGAAAAATAACGAGAAAGAGAGAAATCTCACCGATCACCAGCTTCACCACTGGCGCCCATGAGCTTGTGAGAATCAAGAACCATGATCTTGTCTTCGTTCGATTTGTGAACTAGAATACTGTTAACCGCCGATGTATCTGCTACCACCAAGGCAAAACCTTTCCCCACCATCCCGAAAACGCATTCCATCTTTGTCTCTGTGTGTGTAGATCGATCCCTCTCTGCCCTTTTCTCTGAATTGAGAAATTATAGGAAAATATGAGATGGATGAATTGGGGGGAGTATATGGCGAAGGGAAGTGACTTGGAGAAGAAGAGAGGAATTCATGACCCGGCAGACTTCGGGTACTCGGACCCAGGCCCATATCTTAGAATGGCTCATCACAAATGGTCCAAATACAATTTTTTTTTTTCATTGTATCGATGGGTAATTGTTTGAATATACGTGAGCGCGGTGCGGTTCAGTGCAATTATTGGTCAAAACTTCACCGTTAACCGCAAATGCGGTTAATCAATTTTAAAAACCGTTTGGTGCGGTTAGTTTTGCGATGCGGTTAGGCGGTTATTTTTGCGGTGCGGTTTTGTTTTTTTTTGAGTTTCGGTTATTAACCGCATAGATTTTGTGTAGTTATTTTGTGTGGTTTAAACCGTAGTTTAGAATTCAAACGATTTTAAGAGTTCAAATATATATTACTTGTAATAAAAAAAAAGAATAAGGTATAAGACAATTAACTTAAATCACAAACAATTAATATCTTAAAAACGTAAAATCACTAGTAATTAACGATAAATATCTTAAAATTGTGAAAATTCACCATTTTCCAAAGTCATAACAAAAACCAACACTTTCGTCATCTACATTTTATCCTTCTCGCATCCATGAAACTTATCTTATTTTTAATATATAATACTATTAAAAATTAATTAAAAAAATTGTATATACCATATGCGGTGCGATGCGGTTTTTTTTTTTTTGCGGTTTTTGAAAATTAAAACGTGATACAAACCACATCCCCAAAGAATATTCCTACAAATTTATATGATTGTTCAAACAAAAGGATAAATTGCAGCAAAGTTATAGTTTTTATACATAAGGATACATTGAAGCAAACATAGGTTTAATATGATGGATTAAGGCTTTTCTCAAGTGTTTAAAGATGGCTAAAACAATGTGTCTTACAAACATAAAATATTGACTTTTGTTCTAACATTTAATATTCGTCCTTTGACTTAAATCAATGAAATCAACAATTTAGATGGTCCCTGTTAGGTGCAGTTCATGCACCTATTTTGCATAAATATCTCATCTTTAACATTGCATTTAGAAGTTAAAATCATGCATTATTATATATTTTTAGATATTTCTAGTATATCGAAGGAACACTTTTATTTTCACATTTTATGGTGTATTTGAGGTGTATTTGAAGATTGAGATGCATTTTGGGGATGCTAAGTGTAACGCCCGCAGATTCGGGATAGTCAATTTAGAGACGATAAGCGTCAAAAATGACTTTTTAATGGAGGATTATTTAGAATAAATAATCTTAACTAAGTTTTAGTATATGTGACAAGGTTTTCGTACATATAAATAACGCTTAAATCCAAGTTATAACAAAGAAGTTATGACATGTCGAAGTTTCGCGACAAAACCGACACGACACCGGGAATCGTAAAAGTGAGTTTATGATAAATTACTATTAGCCTTAGTGATATAAAAGAAAGTTGTAGAGTACGTCTCCACCTACGCCTGGATATAAAGAACGTCAGAAACGGAGCTCGTATGCAAAAGTTATGACCTTCCGAAGATACAGTTGTCTGAGAGCATGACACGTGTCAGAAACCCTAATCTGACTGGACTCACGACGTGAGCATTAATTCTCACGACGTGAGGAGTCAAACAGACACTAATCGAGCCTAGAAAACACATAGGAAGTCTACGGGATGACTCTTGGAAGGTCAAGACGTGAGCATATCATTCTCACGAC